CAAGCGCTTGGCAAGTATACTGCATTTCCCCGTATCATTGTCATTTAAAGGCCTGAGGTTCGGCCCGGCGTGGTGGCTCACGCCTGTAATCCTAGCACTCTGGGAGGCCGAGGCGGGCGGTTTGCTCAAGGTCAGGAGTTCGAAACCAGCCTGTGCCTGAGCGAGACCCCGTCTCTACTAAAAATAGAAAGAAATTAATTGGCCAACTAAAAATATATATAGAAAAAACTAGCCGGGGTCTCAGCTACTCGGGAGGCTGAGGCAGGAGGATCGCTTGAGCCCAGGAGTTTGAGGTTGCTGTGAGCTAGGCTGACGCCACGGCACTCACTCTAGCCTGGGCAACAAAGTGAGACTGTCTAAAAAAACCAAAATAAAAATAAAAGCCTGACGCTGGAGCGCAAGAGTCAGCTGCACCTGTGCCCGGACGGCTTGCGAGCTAGGAATGCTGTTTACGTTTGCGCACGGCGGAGAAACGTCAGAAGAAGAAGAATGTGTCATCACGTGAAATGTATGTGCGATCCACAGCGGAGGGTCCGGAAGGCATGCTGGGCACAGGCAGGCGCCCGCCTCTGCCTGCCGGCCGGGCTGCCCGGCTGCGACGGAGCAGAGCTGAGCACTGCACGGGAGCGAGGCACCAGGCGCAGACCCTGGTGGGCAGAGGGAAAGGTGATGCCGTGTCATGTGGGTGCCACCCAGGGCAGGGGACAGAGAAAAAGACAGACAGAAAGGGATACGTGAGAGGGGGAAAGTATCAGTTTCTGACATCTAGGAGGAAGGAGGACTTTCTGAGGAAGGAGGAGAGGGAGGACTTTCTGAGGGAAGGAGGAGGAGGACTTTCTGAGGGAAGGAGGGAGGGAGGACTTCCTGAGGGGAAGGAGGAGGGAGGGAGACTTTCTGAGGGAAGGAGGAGGGAGGGGAGACTTTCTGAGGGAAAGAGGAGGGAGGACTTTCTGAGGGAAGGAGGAGGACTTTCTGAGGGGAGGAGGGAGGAAGGAGGGAGGACTTTCTGAGGGAAGGAGGGAGGGAGGACTTTCTGAAGGAAGGAGGGAGGGAGGACTTTCTGAGGGAAGGAGGGAGGACTTTCTGAGGGAAGGAGGGAGGGAGGACTTTCTCAGGGAAGGAGGACTTTCTGAGGAAGGAGGGAGGGAGGACTTTCTGAAGGAGGGGAGGGAGGACTTTCTGAGGGAAGGAGGGAGGACTTTCTGAGGAAGGAGGGAGGGAGCACTTTCCTGAAGAAGAGGGAGGATTTCTGGAGAGGAGGGAGAACTTTCTGAGGGAAGGTGGAGGAGGATTTCTGAGGGAAGGAGGGAGGGAAAGAGGACTTCTGAGGGAAGGAGGAAGGAGGGAGAGGGAACCTCCTGAGGGAAGGCTAACGTGGGGAAGACGAACCTACCACAGCCTGCTGGCTTCGTCCTCCTGCACCCTGCCCTGTCCTCGAAGCCTGCCCTTCCGGTCTGGGTCGCCCACCCCTCTCCTCACGTCTCAACCAAACTGAAACAGATTTCCACCCTCTTCCAGCCAACACTTCCCAGACACCCAGTGCCCGCTCTGCTCCAAGGTGAGGCCCAGCGCCGTCCTGCCACACCACCAGCCGCAGCCGCGCCGACCTCGGTGTGGACTCGGCCCTGGGATTCTTTGCCGTCCCCACCGAGGCGAAGGGCCCCAGGGCCTACCCGTGTTGCCACTCAGGGAGATCCACTTGCTCTCGGGGTGCCCGTCAGCCGCAGCAGCGAGCCGAGTGGGGGTCCCCGCGAGCAGCAGCAGCAGCAGCAAGCCCAGGGCAAAGGCCATGAGGCCGGAGTCCGTGCCCCCAGCACGTGACGCGGGACCGCGCCCCCAGCCTGCTCGGGCAGCATCTCCGGGGCATGTGACTGCGCCCCCAGCAGGTGACTGTGCCCCGTCACGTGACAATGCCCCAGGACGTGAGTGCGCCCCCAGCAGGTGACTCCCCTCCCCGCACGCGACTGCGCCCAGCCGGGTCCCCCTAACCGCACCCGGGTGCGGGGCTGCGCCTGAATCCTGGACACATGACTGACACCAACAGGTGACAGCACGCCCTGAGGGACACATGACTGGCACCACAGGTGACAGCACGCAGGTGAGGGCGCCTGAGCCGGACACGTGACGGCACCCAGGTGGGGCACAGCGCGTGGCAGCACCTGCGTCCCACCCCAGTGCCCCTAGGTTTGCGCAGTCGGGGTCCCATAGTCAGATCTGGACGCACTGGCCCCATCTGAGACTTCTGTGTCGTAAGTCGCGATGTTCTCGGCTTTCTGCGTGGCAGAAGTGATTCTTTTAGGTCAGTGACTATTTATTTACACAATCTTGCCGCCTAGCCGTCAAAAACCTTTTGATTAAGGTTTCATTTGCACACAGTAATATTCACTCCATTTTGCAAGTTTTGACAAATGCGTACAGTCCCAATGCCGCTACTAAAGTATGGAAAAGTTCCATAGGATTGCCTCACAACAGATGGGAAAATTATAAAACTTCATTTAGAGATGTTAAAAGAAAATGGAGAGATAGGAAGGCTAAATGTTATTAAATAGAAATACAGTTGTCTCCAATCAAAAAGAGATTAAAGGGACTCCCTAAAACCCTCACACTCTCTTCCACCATGTGAACACAGTGAGAAGACATAATAGATTCTGCAACTTAAAAGAGTGGCCGCATTCAAACCTAAGCATGCTGGCCTCAGATTCCCAGCCTCCTATCTGCCTCCTTACGCGCAGTAAGCAGCGCATCAGTCTCATAATCTGAAGATATCCAGCTCCCAGAGCTGTGACAAACAAATGTTGTCTATTAGCCACCCATTTTATATATTTTGTTATAGCAGTCCTGAATTACAGGACAATCCATTATCCATTAAATTTACATAGTGTCAAAAGATTGCTATATTGTAGGAAAATTTTATCTGCCTATTCTTCTTGGACTTTACCCTTCCACATGGAATTATAACTTTAAAATAAGCCTTCAGTGTGCACTTAAAAACTATTCCAGAAAAGGAATAGAAGCAATACAAATAATAGAATCCTAGAGATAAAGAATACAATAAGCTGAACTAAAAAGTCAATAGAAAGCTACACACACTTGATCAGAAGAAAGAATCAGTGAACTTGAAGTTAGACAGGAAATGATTCATCAGAAAGAAAAAAGATAAATAAGTCCTACATATGATATGAGGCACTATTATGATAATGGAGTTCCTGAAGAAGAGGAGAAAAGCACAAACAGCATATTTACAGGAAATAAGGCTGAATGTTTTCCAAATCTGAGGAAAGATGCAACATCCAGGTACGGAAGCTCAGAGACTTTAATCAAATTTAATTAAGAGTTCACAATCAAATTATCAAAAAAAAAAGATAAAGAATACTGAAAGCAGCCAAGAGTAAGAAATATACTACGTTTAAGTGGTCCCAGTATGGCTATCAATGATTTCTTATCAGAAACCCCTGCAAGCATGAGAGAGTGGGATGTATATTCAAAGTGCTAAAAGAAAAAACCCACTAGCAAAGAAACCCATAACCAGCAAAGCTATATTCAGACATGAGGAAATATAAAAAAATGAAATAAAAAACTTCCCCAAACAAAAGCTAAAGGATTTATCGCCACTCGCCATTCTACAGGAATGCAAAAGGAAGTCTTTAAGCTGAAACAAAGCGCTAATTAATAACATAAAGCATGAAGTAAAAAACGTAATAGAATAGGATATATATGCGTCATTCAGAATTCTTACTATTGGAAGGTGCATGTAACGCAATTAATCTTTGCTATGAGAGTTAAAATATGAACTATTAAAAACAACTGTGCAATAAATTATTAAGAGATACAAAATAAACCATGCATTTATAGTCAATTGATTCTTGACAAAGGTGGTAAACACACAATGGAAAAAACATCTACCAATAAATGGTGCTGGGAAGACTGGTTATCCACATGCAAAAAAAAAATTAGACCCTTATCTTACACCATGGGAACGAACTCAACTCCAAAGGATTAAAGACTTAAACATAAGACCTGAAACTATAAATCCCAGAAGAAAACGCAGAGAAAAGCTCCATGACATTGGCCTGGCCAGGATTTTTGGATACAACTCCAAAAGCTCAGCAACAAAAGCAAAAGTAGAAAAATGAAATGCAATCAACATAAAAGCTTTTACAAAAGCAAATTAATTATAACTAATAACAATAACAAAGGAAGAGATAACTCACAGAGTGGTAAAAAATATTTGCAAATCAATACATCTAATAAGGGGTTAATATTCAAAATATAAAGGAACTCAACAGCAAGAAAACCACCACCCAATTTAAAAACGAACAAAGGACCTGAACAAATGCGTCTCAAGGAAGAACACACAAATGCCAACAGCTTTATGAAAAATCTCCGCGCAATAATCACTAGGAAATGCAAATTAAACCACAATGAGTGCCACCTCACGCCTGTCAGAATGGGCTTTTACAAAAAAAGAGAAAGATAAAGTTTGTTGGCAAAGAAAGGGGAGATGAGGAACCATGTACACTGTTGGTGGGAGTGTAAATTGGCACTGCCATTAGTTTCCTCAAAAACCTAAAAATAGAACTACTAGGTGATCCAGCAATCCCATTTCTAGGTAATATCCAGAAGAAATGAAATCAGGATGCCAAAGAGATATCTTCACTCCACGTTCATGCAGCACTATTCAACCATAGCCAAGATCTGGAATCAACCTAAGATGCCCATCAACGAATAAACAGGTTAAAAAAAAAAAGTGGTATAAATACAAAATGAGCTACTTCCAGCCTTAAAAAGAATGAAATTCTGTCATTTGGGGCAACATGGATAACTAGGGACATTATGCTAAGTGAAATAAACCAATCACAAAAGGCAAATAACACATGATATACTTATATGTGAAATAAAAAAAAGTTGATTCTAAAGTGGAGAATAGGATGGTGTTACACAGGCTGGGGGAGGGGAGACAGGATGGGGAATTGCCAGGGCAAGATCCCGCCGTACAGGAGGAATAATGTTTGAGACTATTGCTCAGCAGGCCGGCTACAGTCAAGGAAAATGTATTGTATATTTAAAAATAACTAGTGTAAATTTCAAATATGCACCACCAAAAATCTTAAGTGAGGTATAAAATGTGTTAATTAGCTTGATTTATGATTCCACATTGTATACATGTATCAAAACATCCCATGTTCTCCCTAAATGTAATAATATTAGGACCAATTAAAAATAATTTTAGGGCTAGGTGTGGTGGCTTCACGCCGTAGATCCTAGCACATCTGGGACCGAGCAGGAGGATTGCTCAAGGTCAGGAGTTCAAAACCACCCTGAGCAAAAGCAAGAGCCACATCTCTACTAAAGATAGAAAGAACTTAATTGGCCAAGTAAAAATATATAGAAAATTAGCCGGGCATGGTGGTGCTATGCCTGTATTCCCAGCTATTGGAGGCTGAGGCAGGAGGATCGCTTGAGCCAGGAGTTGAGGTTGCTGGAGCTAGGGATACCACAGTACTCTAGCCCGGGCAGCAGAGCGAACTCGTCTCAATAATAATAATAATGAATAATAATTTTAATTAAAAACTTATGTCAGGGTTTTGACGGAATTGCATTGATTTTTATAGATTGATTTTATAGATTTGAA